TATATAAAAGAAATAAAGGCAAGAAAAAAAATAATAATAATAATAAATAACACATATATATATATATATATACACATACACATACATATACACACACACATTTGCTGCATGGAAAAACTGCAGAAAAGCAGCAACCGATAATCCATTTTCTCCAGCTGCAGGTTATATAACTGCTCCAACAGATAAAATATCCCTGAAAAGGGAGAAATTCTTAGACGGTCTGATCCGGCTATTTAAAGAAAGCTGTGCCATCCCCGTGTATTATACAAGTGCCGAGCTTGCATATCTAGTTCGGAAATTGGACCGCTTCTTGCGGAGCCTCTGCACACACGCACACCTCTGTATGTGGCTGGTCCCAGGCTGGGAACTTTTCCAGCAGAGAATAAATTAAACAAACTGGGTCAGGACACTGGGGGTTTGATGGCCTCCATCGATATCCCCAAGCCGGCTCCGCTAACGAGGTCAGATGCTGCTTTTTCTATACCGTGCTGGGCGCAAGCTTACCGCGATTTTCTCCCCGACGAGGAGAACTCGTCCGAAGTGATGTGCTTCAGAAAATTGAAGCAGAAGAAGAAGATCTGGAGGAGAGAAACAGGGGAGCAATTAATAACAGATAAGCATAGCAGACATTTTGGCTGCATATACCAGATATATCCATAAACCATAGAAATGTGGAAATAGATATTCGGGATCAATGTGCATATAAGATTCAGGAATGAATATACCAATAAAATACTCTGTCATTTTTGGGTAGCTTGGCCAATCTCATATTTTAATGTCAAATACAGAGAATTGACAGGAGCAAAAGAGAGCAGGGGGAAGAAGAAGAAATAAGAAAAAAAGAAAGAAAAAAAAGGAGGGATGGAGAGCATGCACCCAAGGTAGAGATAAACAGAGAGCAAGGACCCCCGTGGGAGAGGGCAAAGAGCGGGAGAGTGCAGGGGAGCACGAGCGGGAGAGTGCAGGGGAGCACGAGCGGGAGAGTGCAGGGGAGCACGAGCGGGAGAGTGCAGGGGAGCACGAGCGGGAGAGTGCAGGGGAGCACGAGCGGGAGAGTGCAGGGGAGCACAAGCGGGAGAGTGCAGGGGAGCACAAGCGGGAGAGTGCAGGGGAGCACAAGCGGGAGAGTGCAGGGGAGCACAAGCGGGAGAGTGCAGGGGAGCACAAGCGGGAGAGTGCAGGGGAGCACAAGCGGGAGAGTGCAGGGGAGCACAAGCGGGAGAGTGCAGGGGAGCACAAGCGGGAGAGTGCAGGGGAGGACAAGCGGGAGAGTCCAGGGGAGCACAAGCGGGAGAGTGCACGGGAGCACAAGCGGGAGAGTGCAGGGGAGCACAAGCGGGAGAGTGCAGGGGAGCACAAGCGGGAGAGTGCAGGGGGGGGGAGAGAACAAGAGCACACGATTGATTTTACCTCTTCACCTTTGCAGAGACGATCAGCCAACATATGCCTAGGGGGAAAAAAAAAAAAGTTACATAATTGGTAATGGACATCATCATCATTGCTGTACTTGCACATCTTCAATATTAAATGGTTGCACAGCATATCACACAGCCACTTCAGTGAACAAGTAACGGGTCACTCCGCTAAAGTGTTATTACAGAACCCATTCGAGGTTACAATAATTAGTATGCCGAACTGCACCTGGATTCTGTAAAAGTGTGCATTAAACTTTCATGATCTTCTTTGAAATAAAGTATTAAGTCAAATATGGGAACGTCTTGTGAATATTTGTATTTCTTTTTTTTTTTAACATAGAAACCAAAAATCGGTCTTAGATAGATATACTGGTCCAATAAGAAGCAGCCAGGGTAGACTGTACATTTTAAATCACTGCTGCAATTGCGAGTATAAAAAATTCAAGACTAGGACTTACCCAAAGAGGAACCAATCATAGGCTATAGTCAGGTAAAGGATCTCAGCAGGCTCCAGGGAGCGGTGAACCATTCCATCCTGTAAGAACAACATTCCATTATTTATTCTGAATATTCTGCTAGAAGGGGTTGTGCCAGCTTAGGGCCAGCTTGTATAAGATTTTTAAATGGTGTTCTTGCCCAGGCATGAAGACCTACACCTCCAGCAGTCATCGGATGTCCACAGAGGTGAATGGAGGTCATGGCAAATCACACTATATATCAGCACAGGTCTTATATCTATAGATATAAGATGTAAGTGTATAGGTTTTGCATTTGTTGTCAGTCATTCAGCGCTGCTGCGGCTTCTGCAAAACCAGTTTGATGCTCTGCCCAAGACCCCAGTAGTTGCAGTACAGAGCAGTCACTACTGAAAAGGCATGGGATTTTGCAGCCATATTGTGATGTCAGAACTATGCCAGTGGACGCATGCACAGTAATGGTATTCCAGACACCACAGCAGATGCATAGAAATATGGTGGTGAGATCCTATGCAACTGCTGTAATGTTTGGAATACCACTACTGTGCATGCACAAAGTCCACTGGCATAGTTCTGACAATATGGCAGTGACATTCCACACATACACAATTGCACAGTAGTGACATTATATGGCAGCGGTTTTAGCCGATGCATGGGAGTTACATGTTCGTTACATGACAAATTGTTAGAAACATTATGCACATGTCCAGGCTCATCCTAAAGATGCACACCAGCCACCATACAGCTACTAAACCCTAAAACATGGGTAGGCATCCTCAGCACTCCAGCTGCAGTGAAATTATGAATCCGATCATGCCTTTCACAGTCATGCCTCTAGCTGTCATGAGACTTGTAGTTCCACAACTGGAGTGCAGAGGTTGCCAAACCCTACCCTAACAAAAACCCATTCTGAAGAAGTCCAAAGGAAAATGTTAGTCTTAAAAATTGACCAAATAGTTTTTTTACTAAAAAGGAGAACTAGGAAGGGAGTGCTTTTCACTCACCTCCTAGTTCTAGCCGACCTGTGACAATGAGACTGTCACAGGTCGGCTCAGTAGATCGGGAGGTGAGCGAACACATACCGGTGTTCGCTCACCTCTCGATCCTGTCACGGCTCTCTGCCGTGACAGGGGAGGGGCTGGAATCCCCCCCTCCCCGCTCCGATCCGCCAGCGCTGACTGGCGGAACAGACGGGGAAGGGGCGTGTACAGCTGGCTCTGCCTCTAGATAGGCAGAGCCAGCTGTCAGTCACGCAGCTGGGCGGATCCCGGCACAATTGTCGGGATCCGCTTCAGCGTCTCAGTATACCACGAGCTACGGCTCATGGTATACTGAGCCTAGGGTGACGGGAGGACGCTAGTTTGTGTCCTCCCGTTACCCTAAGGAGAACTATGGCGGAAGGACTTAACCTCATAGTTCTTCTTTAACCCCTTCATGACTGAGCTTGTTTTTAGTTTCTGTTCGTAAATGACTGACACACTTTTGACATTTTTGCTGTGTGATTCTTCCACGTCAGTAATATACTTTCTTACAAAGTGCACCCAGACATATTATATATTGTTTTTTAGAGGACAGATGGGGCTACATATTTATATCACATATGTGTGTCTAACGCCTCACTTAGGACAAATAAAATATAAAAAAAAGAAGAGGAAAAAAAAAAAAACGTAAAAAAAAAACAATTTTTTCCCATTTTGATTTGTAGTATTTTTTTTACAAAACCAGCACAGCTAAAAAACAATGCAATAAATACATTCATTTATTTCTCCCTTATTTTATTTTTTTACACATATTTTTTTTTTTTTTACACTTTTCACTTTTTTTTAAACTTAAAAATGTTATTTTATTTATTTAATTATATCAAGCAGTCATTGTGAATTAATCTCACTGTTACTGCTTGATAAATTAATACATTTTTGGTTATTATCAGGCTGCTTCAAACTTCAGAACAGCCGATAATAAGTTAGTGACACTGATCCTGCAGCAGTTCAGGATTCAGCTGTCACTAAAGGTTTTCTGATTGTTGCAACAAGGATCAGCAAACAAACATTCTTCTTTCAGGAATAGATACATTATAGGAATAGACACATTATGTATCTATTCATGAAAGAAAAAAAAAAAGCCAGTATAGCTTGAGAGAGATATATCTCTCGATCTATACGAGCTGTCAGAATGCCGGCAAAAGCCGGCATCTGTGTCCCTCTGCTTTGACTCTCAGACACCCGATATTAAGGTATCGGGTGTCTGAAAAAGGTTAACCCTTTCATTAATGAATGCCTCTGTAGTAAGGGCATCCATTAATGAATGTTAAAAGCTGATTCTCAGCAGTTAACAGCCCTCTAAAGCAGCAAATAACTCGTCACGTACAGTGTACGTAACAAGTCATTTGGTCCCTTTGTGGCTGGACGTCTGTAATCAACTGAGCTAACCCATAGCAATTAGGGATAGTCCTACTTTACCTTTGTAAGCTACAGTGGCAATCGGATGGTCAGTACTTGCTGTAAACATGCTTGGTGGAACACATCAATAGCCTAAGATACTGTGTCAATGGCTTTGGGCTTGTGTCGACGAAAACAGTTTGCGTTGCTTCTTGGAGCATACAGAATTCATTGACGGGTGTATTTGATCATCATGTGACCTGCATCAACCAGATTTTGCATTCCCATGGACTTGTATGAGAATGCTAAAACCCATTTAAAGTGAACAAAAGCCCGTCAACAAGCTGTGTCCTAAACCCTGATCTGTTTTAAGGTGCCCATACACCTTTAGAGATGGCACCTTTCTATCAATCAACATAGTGCATATCTGCCAGTGCAGCCTCCACACCTGCCGTGCTCATTTTTCAATCAGCTGCAGTTACCCTTCCCTTACCCCTCCCAAAACACATCAATCTACTTGCAGATAGCTTAAAGACTGCTTGATGGCCATATTAATAGCCGTCATTACATTATTCCGCTCCCTAAACACACAGCCTTTGATATATATCAATGTGAAATCGAGGATTTCATGGCTTCTTCCATTAATTAGGTTAGCAAAGCTTTATCCATTTACTGAACAAGCACCTTGTGAAGGTATAAATTATGCAAAACCTGCCGGCATAAAAGAGAATTTCTGGCATGGGAAGTGCGATGCTTCGGACAGCAGCGTAAAACAAACAATTAGGCCGTTTTATTAAAGCAGCGTGTCACGTAATCACTTCCTTTTCATTTTAAGGTCAAATCCTTATAATAAAGAATCCTCACTCAGAACGCTCCCCTAATCTCACCAAAATATTCATATATGAATAAATGTCAAAAGGTTGTCGCTGAGATATAGTTTGTTTAATTTTCCAAAACATGGCCGGAATTAATAAGAAATCGGACCTTGTTCTTTGAACTCAACTTTTCAAAGGGATCTCATTGTTTGATGAATTATTAAGTGATGAGTTTTACAAGCACTTTTCTAGAACAAAGACAGGAGGATAAAAAGAAGAAAAAAAAAAGGTATGCAAAGAAGAAAAAAAGTCTGAAGGTTTTCTGAAGTAGTTTGGTAGTTTTGCTCAAGTCAGTCTTCATTCTAGCAAGCACTCCATGCTTCTGCATTTTGCAAGTATTGAAGGCAGAATGCAAGGGTGACCCTACTTAAAAAAAAAAAAAATCAAAGCTGAACTCCAGGCAAACAGCCGAATATATGGATGAAATGCATACAGCACATGGGAGCTATTTTACCTTCCGTGTCCATCTAATTCTGAGATTTACACAGCTCTGCCCTGTTTAGCAGGGAAGCAGACTTGGCCCTTGCTACAGTTCAGTAACAATTTCAGATGCCCTTCCCAAGCAGCAGACTGATAAGCCTATCTTCCTATCCTTCTGATCTTCCCTTCGTGCACTGCAGCACAACCAATTGGCTCCTTGTGCGGCTTCTCCCTCCCCTAGATTGAGGTCCGCTGTACAAGGATGGCAAGAAGCGTTTCCCTGTCAAATACAGGTACTCACACCGCTTGCATTAAAAAAAATAAAGTATTAAATTCATAAAATGACATTCATTTGTGTTTTTTTTAAATCCGACTAGAATTCAGCTTTAAGGACTGATAGTTGGCAATGGAAATCTGTATTTGCACATCAGAGAGTCTTAGGTTTTGGGGATCCTGGAGCGATCCAGAAGGTGTTGCAATAACATGCAGGCACCAGAAGCTGTCTGCTTTCCATTCTTATCACAGCTTTACTGCTCTTGTTCTAAAAAAAAAAAAAAAAATTCTCCTTATGCAAGATCCCCTGCCTGGCATTGAAATGTACTTACCGCCCACAGAGACAGCCTCAAGAGGGAAACAAACAGCGGCGTACGATCCCAACCAGAGATACAGTGCACCAACAACCCGCTGCTATCTGTGGAGAAATTGAAGGACAAATTAATTGCAGCTAGATTTATATATTGTTACACGTACTTGGAGCAGACAAATATAAAACGCATAGTAAACTGCCAACAATCAAATGCAGCCAAATTGCAAAATCATTTGTGTCAGCTAAAAGGAAAAGTACAGTCCTTGTTATGCACGTAGGTACAGTATGTAAGCATGTATACACATACACGTTGTCCATGGTATGGACACTATGGCCTTAGTGCTGCCCCACCACCGTGCTTCCATTCATCTACCAGTTTCTGACAGGCACAGGAATTTGTCACAAGCAACAAAATTTGCAGTGCAGAGGTGCGACACTCTTTAAGAGTTCCAGGGAATGTACTTTATGATAGAAGACCTTACAATGCAAGCTTCAGTTACAAATACCCCCAGATCCAGCACTTCCTCCTAACACTCCCAAACAGGAAATATATAAGAGAGCCTAACCCTTCCGTGACAAAAAATAAGAAATTCGGCAGAGGTTCCGCAAGAAGAGAGTACATATGGCCAGAGATATTTCCACAAGTAATCAGTCAATCTGATACAAACACAATGATAAAATATACAATGTGCAAAGTGCTTACCATCGCCATTGATGATATGAATAAGAAGCCTCAGGTAGTTTTGAGTCTGCTTCACCAAGTCCCAACTCTGCAACAGAAATCAGCCAAATAATGTCACACCCAAATCCCAGTAAAACATATTGGACACAACTTCACCCTCATTCAGACGGTTAACGGCCGGCCCATACAGATCTGTGCTGCATGCACAGCCATATGTGGCCGCTCCTGTGTGAGTTGTACGCAGCAGCCTGTCCTTCTCTATGGGAGTATGCGGCTGTATGCACCCCTACGCTCACCCGACCGGCGCATCCGTACTGGTGCCCCTGCTCGGATCCAGAGAGGATCCATCCTGTGAGCGTACGAGTACGGACACCCACACAGACGTACAGGTAAGGTGAGCATAGGGCGGTGTACGGCCGCATACTCCCATAGAGAAGGACAGGCTGCTTAAATCAGCCAAATAATGTCACACCCAAATCCCAGTAAAACATATTGGACACAACTTCACCCTCATTCAGACGGTTAACGGCCGGCCCATACAGATCTGTGCTGCATGCACAGCCATATGTGGCCGCTCCTGTGTGAGTTGTACGCAGCACCTGTCCTTCCCGGGAGCTGCCGATATGGCCGTGCGCGCAACACAGATCTGTAAGGGCCGGCACCCGTGTGAACGAGGGCTTTAAATGAGAGGGGGGAAAAAACTGCACGCGCGCTACAATACTGGCACCAGATGTATAGGTCAAATCAGTGTTAGGTTAGGAGGAAGGATTAAGTACCAAGGACAGGTTAGGGTGCAGGGGAATGGGCACCAACAGGCGTTTGTTTATATTCAGTTCAATAGCAGTTTCTCAAGTCTGCTAAAATCTAGAATCGAAACCAGGATGGCAAACCTAGATCTTGCACCGTTAACGATGCAATGGCTGCCATATTTTATTCTCCGCAGGTTCCCTTTACAGTATCATTTTTTATAATAAAAGCTCTTGATACAAAATTCTAAAGCTCAGTTGAAAGTTAAAATGTCACCGCTATTCACAAGTCTCAGTAGAACCCATATGTGCTGATCCTTGATTCACAGAAAATGTTCAGATAAAAAAAAAGAATCATAATTCAGGACATATTATGGATTGTACATGGCAGCTCCTGAAAGATTCTATGTTCTCTGCGGCTTGATCACTCCGAATGATTCCAATTCAGTGATTCCCTGCTGCCTGCCTGCTGGGCTCTTTCCTAATTCTAACCGACAGACGGAGTCCCGAGTTCCGGGTGGCACAGCACTATGCATGTAGAGTATTACAATCAATCAACGACCTTTATCCGACTAGCTGGAAAGGTATCACCCATCGCAGACAACTGGGAGTTGTGCTTTAAAGGTTAGCACCAACAAGTGGGAGGGTTAGAACCCCTGTTGAGTTATTCCCATTTGTGCCCCCACTGGGGAGATTTCTGCTCAATTTCTGTACCAGTGACACCCCGCTACACAGGGCGTCATTGAAACAGGATGCGAGGATGAATCTCTCTAGGAGGACAAAGACTACATTTAATTACGGTCTATGCCCCCAATGGAGAGTTCGCTGCTTAAAAGGGTTAGTTCACCTTTAATGAGATTTTAAATAAATAAAAAATCTTTCACTCGCAGAATGCAGAGCTCTGCAGCGAAAGAGAGTGGACTGCGCTTGCGTAGTTAGGCAAGTTGACTGCTCATTCGTGCTTGGACTGTGCATCCAAATGGTCAGTCCATTCTGCTATTGAGGGGGACCCACGGTAGAAGCAGCTTCAAAAAGTAAATCAGTCTTTAAAAATGGGAGGACAGCATTTTACTCTAAAGTCAGAAAAATAAAGGATTTTTTGTACTTACCATTATGTCCCTTACTCTAAAGTTCACTGAGACACACAGCTCCAGTAGATTCCATAATATAGATTATATTGCCACCTACAGGTGGGATTTGAACATGAAAAGTTGAAGGGGCGGCCTGTTTTAGGCTAGATCCCCACTGCTACCTAGCACGCTCAGTTTCGTGTCCTAAGATGGAAGGACGTCTCATCAGCCTGCCGAATCAAGATTTTTCTACTGCGATTCCTTCAATCCAGTAGCTGCTGGTTAATTCATGTTGGATAGTGGAAATCTGGAATCAGCAGAGAGCACAGCTACAGTCTGCAGCACCCAGTGACCAACAGGCACATCTAAAGGGAACCCGGGGATGTGTTCTTTCATAGAATTCTTTTGAAAAAGATCCAAGGCAGAAAGCGGTGACATTTAGGAGGAGCCTGTAGTGCAAAGAGCAGCAGACAGACCCAGTGAGGACATCATATTAATGCGTACAATATACTTCAGTATTAAGTATCCTCCTGTAAGTTGCAGCATAACCCATGGTATAAAATCTACAGAGCTGCGTCCCTCAAGAAACAAACAGTCTTCAATGCCGTGTCCATATTGGAGACATTTCTTCATCTCCTGCAGAAGTCATGGGAGTCACCGATACAGGAAGTAAGGAAAAAAAATGTATCCAATGCTAACACACACGGCAATAAAACCAGACAGAGGTTGTAAAACTCCCCCAGTCTGTTTAACCCAAAAAACATAAATCTGCCTGCAGTTATATTTTATGAAAAAGAGCAGAGTACTAGTGCCACCATTGTTCAGCCCGGTCACAGCGCATAAGTGTAAAACTGTATGCAGGTGTAAACAAACCATTCTGAACCCTTACTAATGCAAAGATATAACAAAATAAAAAACAAAAATGTGTATATATATTATATAATAAAATGGAATGTCATTGCTATGAGCTACTCATGCACAGAAAGCATAAAATCTGATGACTGTCAAGCACCATCTGAAAGCAGAACATGAAAGAGGCAGGCTCTACGGCAAAATACACGCTATGTGCGGATTGAGAGGGTTAAGAAAAATACAAGTGCAGACGCTCCCGGGGGGCCAACAGAGCCACCTGTGAAAAGAGCCTCAATTAGACTCGTCGCAGCAAAAACCCATTAATTGAACCTGCCTGCAGCGCTACCTGCAGTGCGATGACCCATTTTCCAGAGCTCGTCACATGCAGAGTCCCACGATCTGTTACTTATGGAATATCCCAGAGGCTGCACGAGAGGAGGAAACCTGTACAATCCCGACACAAAGCTTTATTTAAGGAGACCGACCCCTGACTGTGCCTTCCTTCATCCCTTTGTCTGCTGAGGCGCAGCACAGCCAAGTCTCCGGGGAAAACAAAAGGGCAACTGACAGCGTAGAAACAGAGTCTGGGAGGAGAGCGGGGAGTGCGAGGACACTGTGTGTGTGTTCCATGGATTTTTTTATTGCACAACAGTTGTTCGTACAGTTGAGTGTTTTATTAATGATTGGTTTACCTGGTATTCCCTCCAGTCAATATGAAGGTTCCTCGTCAAGCAGGGTGGAATATTCAAGGGTGCATCAACATAATCCTTGAAAACAAAACAGGTTTACAATAATAAATACGTTGCTTATCAACCAGATTGTTACCCAAGAACAGCCACCACATCAAAGGATGGGTAAGCTGTATTGCAGGTTACCAGTCCTTAGATGCAGTGGCTGCATTAGTTTTCTTTTCCTAGGATTTTTCCGTTCTATCCCCTTTATCTTTACCTCGTGATCCTGCTGGTAGCAAACTCCCTGTTCTAATGTGACAACACTCACTCCTTGTACTGTAGCTACTGAGATGCAACATTGTAGTTTAAATCAGGAGAGCAGACTAGGGTGACAAACACCTACTCCTCCTCTCCATAACAGAGGTAGAGGTTTTCTAGTTCACAGAAGGTAGCTGGGAAGACTGGTAATATTATTGTAATTTCCTGAGCACTGAACTGAAATCTCTAACAATACAACGTTTCTGGCAGGAACAGAAATCTTTCTAGATTTGCAAAAAAATTTCTTGGCCTGAAAAAAAAAATCCCACAATACTGCAACCACCACATCGAAGTACTGGTTAGCTGCAATATATCGGATTTTTGTTCCCTGGTTTTGATTTCTTCAGAAGGATCATTCATTAAAAGGATTAATCACATTAATATCTTAAAGTGACTTTTTTCCTCCCCCCTATGCTGGTGTAAGGATGTACCTTAAGGCCCCATTCACACTGAGCGACATGAAAAGCGCGCGATTTTGAGCGATATTGCACGACGAGCGATATTGCGCAACTTTTTTCTATTGGGCTATATGTAATCAGGAGCAATATCGCTCGAAAAAAGGGTCATGTAGGAGCGACAAGCTACCAGCGACGAGCTACAAGCGATATTGAGCGACAAGATGTGAACAGCTCCATTGAAATGGATTGGAGAAGCTACATAGAGCGATATCGCGTGGAAATAGGAGCGATATTGCTGCAAAAAAAAATCGCACGATAATTCGCTCAGTGTGAACGGGGCCTAAATGATGCCTCTTGATCCGATCAGCTTCTTCTTTCCTGTAGTTTTCAGGAGTCCCACCAGTCTCCCAATTTTATTCCTTGGTCACAAAAGTAAAATTGGTCAGATGGAGACGACGAGCAGCTATTTCAACACACATTACACAGGCATGGTCTACTGTTGTCCCCTTCAGGAAACCCACACTGAAGAATCTCTCTCTCTCGCTCATATTTATTTATATATATCTATTAGGTCTTCCACCAAGGTCAAGTTGATGGCTGGACTAGCAAGACTTGTTCGTTCTTATAGCAAGTTTTGAATGTAAACATTTTAGGGGTAAACATACAGTAACCCACGAGGATCACTTGTTTCAGCCGCTTCCAACCCATGTGAAGCTGGTATAGTAAAAACCAGTCCTACCTGTTTCCAGTTAAAAACAAGACCTTCAGCAGCATAGTCCCGTTCCTTGTAATCTTTAAAAAATTCACAGCCTGAAAATAGAAGAAGCAACCAATGACAGTGTCTGACAAGCAATAACAACATTACCTAAAACGCCAAATTAAAAAAAAAGGGGAGGGAAGAAGTGCAGCGCTCTCAAGAAACGACCAATCAAATAAAAGGCAAACTGATGCATAAAAAAATCAAAGTCATTATAAAATACTACTGGTGTAATTACTTTCAAAAACAATCTGTACCAACAAACTGATAAAGGTCCAACAATGTGCTCCAATAGTGTCCCTATACATTGAGAAAAAGTGTCAATATAATTAGACAATACAATAGTGGCTTAGAGGTTAGTACTTCTGCCTTGCAGCACTGATGTTGCCTGATGCCGGTCAGGAGTGGACACTATCTAAAAGGCGGCAACATGGTTTAATTTTTCTACATTCGCATAACATTATCACTCAGGACAGTTTAGACTCTCCAATTTCTCTTCCTTCCTCAGTAAAGAGAAGCCTGTGGTGGTGGAGGGCTCACACGCAGCTTCAATCAGGTCTGCAGTGGGTTTTTCAGGCCTCCATAAAACTAACTACCTATACAAGTGCTTGGGGATGGAGGGCTCATGTGGGAGAGGAGTTGGCTCGGGTTCATATGTCTCTAGCATGTTCTCCCTGTGCTTGCATGGGTTTCCTCTGGGTACACGCCAGAGACATGCTGGAAAGTGATTTGTGAATGACTACACATCAAGGTGATGTACCCCTTTGTGAGAAATGGACTCACCCTTTTCCCAATGACCTGTGCTAAAATACTTCAGTAGAGCGGATCTCCGATTGGTCACCATGAGACAAGTCATCATTGGGAACTGCACCAAACCTCATTTTTTTTTTTAAATACACCCAACTAAAAATGCAAAGGTGTGACCCTTACTTACCATCAGTGCGCCCGCATCTGCAAAAACCCTCCATGTAAATACAGACTTTTCTGGCATAATATTTGTGCGCGTTTTACTGTTAAATCACACAAACACACAATTACAAAACTAGAATCAGGAAGATTAGAATTCTTTACCTGGATACGGTATCGACAAAAGGGTAAAGTCTGCATAACGCTGAGCTTTATCCACCTTTTCCGAGGAGGTGACACTAGACAATCAAAGAGAAAAAAAATGTGACATAGCTTCTTGGAGGTACAGTGGTCAATGTACATGGGAGGAGTTTGTTTATTCCAAACACAAAAAGAAATTAAAAAAAGAAAAAAAAGGGAAGAACCCCCCCCCAATCTCCATTATATGGGCCTCTATCAACGGCTTCTTTTTTTTTTCTGTGCGTCAGATAGGTATTGCATTCCCAGACATGTCAATGAAAATTAAAATACCGCATGAAGCTGGACAAATGCAGGTCTAAAAGAGAAAAACAGTCTGAAAAAGAGAAAAATGCAGGTCAAATGCACCAGTCATGGAACTCTGACACCAGGTTTGAGACACATCTAAGATACTTCAAATGCATACCATCAACTTGGGCCCAAAGACCATTGACACAGGCCCTGAGGCAGTTCTCAAAGCACAACTCACCAAGGAACCAAATAAATAACCACCAGAAGGATTTGTTACTATTAGAATGAGCTTACCAAGCTTCATGAATGAGCAAAATCTGTCCCTGTTTTGACCAGGAAGACCCAGATTTAGAGTCCGTGCCATCATGTCGGAAGTGACATCAGAGTTTTGAGGGTTGTGCAGATTAATCAAATTCCCCAGTACAATAAAACCATTAATGTTTGAGCTCTCCTGCAATCAATAAGTGGAAAACTGGTCTAAACTCCCACAAAAGGTTTCATCGCTTCTCTACTGCATTGTGAAAGGGGCCTGAGTAAGTAATGAAAGGGAAGGGGAAGCAGCCAAGTAAGAAATTAAAGCGTCTGCACTTTCTTGAAAAAGTCTTTGTACGAAACACGTCGAAAGAAGTGGGCACGCACGGAGGTTGGGACACGCTAAGTTGGAAGGATTTTAATTGTGTGATTATTCGACTGGCTTGTTCATGACGGATTGGAATATTTTTTGAAAAAGTGATTGTTTCTGGGAATCTTGTGTTTTTAAATAAAAACCGGTTTCTTGGCATATTACACTATGTGTTCATCATTCTCTCTGGGGAACGGATACATTTTTTTAAACGGCCACACCTGAACCGAAAGCTTTCTAGTGAAACGTTGTGGAGCAAACGTTCACTGATTGCGATCCGGGATTGCTAGGTTATTTACCAATTTGCACTTAATCTCTACTGGAGATATTACAACAAGAAACACTTTTTACTATGTATGAGTATTTATTAATTAATTATATTGGTTATATGTGATCCATTTGATATTTAGCACTATATTATTCATGTATTATGATTATTGATTAGCGCAGTGCATTTGTTTGATCTAAGAAATTAAAGCAAATCCAACTTCCTTCCAGAGTTAAGATAACTACAACATAATCATTACCCATCACTATGCATATATAAATCACACACACACACACACACATAGTGCAGTGACATGTACACTATTAAAGTCACAGATGTGGTACACTACTCATAGCCAATAATATTTATCAGAACTACAAGGCAGATATTAGTGGTCAGTATCTCTGGCCATTTTCTTTCATTAAAAGAAAAAAACAAAAAAAAAGGAGCAGGATGGACATTTTGTTTCCAAACTAACAGAATTCTAACAGTGAATGTGGTTTCAGAAAACCCCATTCATTCTAAAAATGATTGAATGGGTTGGCAAGACTTTGTGTATGAACATTCAGTACAAGAAATATACTTTAACAGTGGATTTCTCCTCACTTGGAGGGAGTTCCTGTTTTTTTGAGAAGAAAGAAGAAAGAAGAAGGAAGAAGAAGAAAGAAGAAGAAAGAAGAAGAAGAAGAAAGGAGGAAGGAGGAGGAGGAGGTCTCCCCAATGGGACATAGACAACAAGAAAAAAAAAAAAAAAGGTTTTGGCTTTAGTTCAACTTCTTTTACACATAAAAACAAACTGCAATTTTTTTTTTTAACCATTAAAGCTGAACTCTGGACATAAAGGTGTGTGTGTGTGTGTGTGTGTGTGTCAACAACGTAAGCCAACCAACAACAACAGTCACAGAGGATATAAACACAGTTTGTGTGCACCAAATGCCTCTGCAAATCCAGATATTAAAATAGCAGTGACATGATCACTGTGCTATACATAGCCCGTGTAGAGAGCAGAGCTGTACCAGCTTTACCAGCTGTACCAGCCCAGCAGGCCCCACTTACTACAGGCTGCCTGCAGAATACTACAGGAGGGGGCAGAGACAAGACCAGTCATCCTGCACGAGGAGAGAGCGCAGCAGTGACGGCCTTTATTACAGGAGAGGGCAGAGACAAGACAAGTCATCCTGCACGAGGAGAGAGAGCAGCAGTGACCGGTCTTTATTACAGAAAGCTCCAAATCTCACATTGGATTACTGGAAGAAATACACAAAGCTCACAAAGGTTCAAGTCAGAATACACATGACTCTTGTATGAGGACAATATTTGCTTATCCCAAAGTTCAGCTTTAAGGCCAGATAATGATTGTCCAAACTCTCATCAACTCGATGTGCAAACTTACTTCACTCCAAACTTCACTTTCTTGTTCTCTACCATCAAGTCGCAGATATATCGTACGGAGAGGTATCGTAGTACTTTGATGTCATGGCCCCGGACTTTGTCAAATTGTGAATCCCCGTTTCTGGAAGTGCAGATGAGAAGCAAGGATTGAACTGAAAGCTGCACATAATATTCCAGCATAGTGCTCCTTTTATACTTACAGAGTATGAAATATGCGTCTACATTTTATGTATTCATAAGTATTATGGAAAGAACTAGTGTGCACTGATATGAGGTCAACTCATGCAAAAATACGCAATTCATCAATGGGGTATAAATGTTCAACAGAAGGGCATTCCACCCCTTTTGATTGAGGCTTTCCAGCATACCTGGCCGCAGCATCGTCATCGGCTACCTCAGTATCAGCACCAGCGTCGTCAGAACCCCCTTTAAGAGAAACATATTACAAAGAAGAGATCAGAGCAACACGTGACAATATGACTCTGGGCCTAAACCTCTCACCCAGAACTACTTCTGCTTTCACAACCAGCCACAGCTCCATGACCGGCAGTAACACTTCTGGAAATATTCCTAGAATTTACTACAAATTCTAAGAACATAGAACATGAAGCTACAAGTTGCTTATCCTCCTTAGATGGGGTAGCTGCATTTGCTCCCCCCCACCCAAGCTTTTTTCACCTGGTGATCTTGCCAGTAACACACTTCCTGTCCTCGGTGACAATGCTTCTCTCTCACTTTACTGTATCTACGTATGAGCAGAGTTGACTCTCTCGTCTGCTCACGCCAACCCACCCCACTACAGAAAACCTCCCCTCTCCTCAAGGAAAAGCTTTCAAATGTTATGTTTAAAAGTAGAAGTAAAGCTTTTGATTGGCAGGCTTTCTATGGCAGAAGTGACAGTGTAAGTTACATACTGTAAGACTTGGCACACCTGTTTCTTTGATGCACACAATCTTTCATGCCAGCTTCTCCTTAGACAGGTCCCCAGAGCCTCCCCTACCTCTCCAGTGGCCTAAGAATCCTTGTGTCATCACATTCTATAAAAGTGTACAGATGTGAGGATGCTGAGGAACATTCCTTCCAGCAGAGGAGGAGACACGCTTCAGTGACCGGAGAAGGAGGGAGTCGGCTGGGCAGTTCGGGTGAGTACTGTATAAACTTTTTTATTATTTATGTTTAACACCTAGACAAAAACGAGCACTTAACCCTTGCAATGTGGCAGTAGCCCCCAAAGCAAGGGTTAATAATTTCCCCGGAGTTCTTCTTTAAACTAAAAGTTGAGTTGTGCTTCAACATACACTTCTGTGTGACTTATTATTGAACCTACCTGAGAAAATGTAATTATAACCGGCTCTTCCATACAACTCTCCCCACCCAGCCAGCGTTGCCGACCTGCAGATGTGCTGCAACAAAGTGAAATATCTAGTAAAATAATATTCTTAATCTTTGTTAATGTGAAGACTAATGACAATCAATATGATTACACAGATCTACATTATAAATGGAAAAGAAGAGTCAAGTCAAAACGCTCGTCATCATCCGAGCACAGTGGCGGAGAATTGTTCTGCTAGAGCTCCCATCTCTACTACATAGCGGTAGGACTTAATGACTGCCCCTGGGAAGTGTGTACGCAGGAATCTCCAGGTCTTTACTGGGCTAGATGGAAAAGCTCTTCATTGGAGCAGACAGGCAACTAAAAATAAGCACATCCTGCAAAGCTTTCAAATTAAATATTAAAATGACATTAAAAAGGCAAAACTTTCCTCCCCCCCAATGCTAATGTAAGGACTTACCTTAAATGATGCCTCCTTATCCGATTATCTTCTTTCCTGAAGTTTTCAGGAGTCCCTCCAGCGCTGGTGCGGGTCTCCGATCCAGCACCGATTCCTCTATCTTCCTGAAACATCCTGCAGCAAGAACTGCCTCCACCCCATGATCATCTCCTGTAAGGGGAACGCCTCAAACCACCAACATGACCAACGTCACTGAAGTTAGGAGCCCTTCTCTCAGACAGGCCAGACTCCAGGCAATGCTTAGACGCATCAAGGGACACTAGATGAACAATACCTAACACCTTTGTGTACACTGTACATCCACCTTGGGGTATACCACCTCCTTATACACTGAGTGGCCAGATTATTATGACCACCTGACGTTTGTAGGCAAATTAGCAATATTTTTGCGCTGAAGTTACTAGAGGGCCAGACCATTATAAATAGGGAAGCAGGTTATTTACCACGACAGTAGAAGTGATGTTTTTCTGACGATACGGGTAAACAATGCGATTTAACAGCGTTTGAACGTGGGATCATTGTTGGCGCGAGCCATGGAGCGAGTATCAGCAAAACAGCAGAATTCGTTAAATGTTCAAGAGCGGCTGTTGTTAAAGTGTTTAAAGACTGGACTGTCAGCCAAAAATCTGGGTCTGAACGTGCGAATTGTGGCCGTCAGCGACTAGTCAATGTTAGGGCAGAACGGAGAGTGGCAAGACTGGTACAAGACAACAGTGCAGTGTCAGATTCCTCGCATCACCTTTCACCATCTCGCGGAGTCACGAGGCGGCCCAACGAAGTCATCTCGTGGAGTTATCTCGTGGCCCAACGAAGTACTGATGGGGTGGTCATAATAATCTGGCCACTCAGTGTATATGATTTCACTATACTATTTTAAACAGAGGACATCAAACTATTAACCACTTGCCGTCCGCCCGTTATAAAAAAACGGACGGACGGCACTGCAGCATTGGTGGGTTGCCATCTCCAGACGGCATTTTTTTTCTGCTCGCGGGCGCGCACGGGCAAAAAAGACCCGACCAATGCAAACACCCGTTACCCGGTGTTTCACATATAGACGATCGGCCGCTCCATAGCCCGCCGATCGTCTGTATGTGCTCGTTTTTTCGAACGCCACCGCCCCAACCCCCCACGGCCGCCGATGTTTTTTTGCAAAGTATGGTATAAAATTAATTTCAGTACAGCGTTGCATGACGGAATAAATGTCAGTCAAAGTACCGCAGCGCTGAATACTGAAAAATGGCCTAGATGGGAAGGGGGTCTAACACCGCGGATGTCAACTGGTTAAATTATGCTGCACAATGCTCCATTCGAAGATTTCTCTTTTCCAGAGACTGAAGGCTGATTAGGCAGGAGAAGTGGAGTTGAAAGCCGCATACCTTCCCCTTGTAGAGAATAACCGGGCAGACGAAGCGCCCTCTGCATCTCGCCATCTTACTGCGGTTGATGAGGTCCTGCAGCTTGCCAACTTGCATTGTGCTTTCAAACCTGCAGCAGAAATACGGAAGGATAAAACAGAAAGTCACAGTTATCTACTGACATATCCAATTTACTACATAATTGGCAATGATCTTCCAAAATGTACACCCTGAAGCAATTCAATAAAAGCAGTCTAATGAGCAAAGTCCAAAATCTGCATCAACCAGTCAAATTCCACATTAGAGCAAAAGGTCAGTCAAAAGGTAAAAACTGACTGGCTGCTCAGCTAATGCTCTTCGACCGTTCTTACAAAATCACTGTGCTGCGTATTTAGTAAAGAGGACACCAAGCGAAATTGTTTGTTGTTTTTTTTTTAAATGTCTGAGCCGACTATGTTTACAATATGTCCATACTGGAGGTGTCCCTTGTATTGTAGTACCCCTTTTCTTCCACAAGATGTCCTCAGTCTTCCTGGTTGAATGACACCCAGTGCAACTGAACCTAGATGAATGAGGACAGATTGTGAGTCCAGGGTGTCACAGCCCCATCCCCTGAGCAAGTTGCCATGAACACACAGTGTAGTGATGCAGAGAGTGGCACTGGTGCCATTACTTCTCTGCATCATCCAGGACCAACCACCATAAAAAGAGAAGACCAAAGAAGAGGCCCCAGCACTTCATGTTACTGGCCACATGACTTGCCATTAAAAACAAACAACAAACATATACTGCTAGGTTAGGGGGGCTCAAGAAAGATGTCCTCTGGAATTGGGGTGGGGGAGAAGAACACTGAGCTGTTACCTACCATCATAAGTTTGGATTCAGAATAAAACAGGAAACTGATTTGTACAACTATAAATGAATGGCACGTTTGTTGTGTCTTATTCAGCAGACCAACCAGATTATGTGCATGTAGGTAGTACAAGGAAAGACATTTTATATTTACAAGGCAGATTAGCAATGTAGACAATAATCCAGATGTAACACAGAGGATAACACGAGCTTTAGAGAATCTGACAACATGATTTGAATGGATCCACTTCATAGGGAGGTGCTGCCCTCTTCCTGCACGCCAGAATATTTCACAGGTTACAAGGGGGGGGGGGAAACTGAAGGTCCACAGCATCCAATAACATTTCAATTCACTGTAGTCGGGTCAGGTGCTGCTCAAATGCATAAAAAAAAAAAAAAAAACTGTATTGGCATGCTTTGCCTTTATAGTAAACACAACTCAATAGGACGTGCTGCCTACAAAGAAATGTAGAAGAAGCCAAGCACAGCCTGAGAATGGTGAATGGTCATCCTTACTGCACTACTGAAGTGAACCCGTTCTCTGCTGACTTGTGTTTCAAAAGGCACCTCACACAATCCCCTTCTAGAGAAGTCCTTACCTTTGTGGATGCCATATACCCTGTTTCCCCAAAAATAAGACCTACCCCGAGAGTAAGACCTAGTACTATTTTTCAAGATTCCTGTAATATAAGGCCTACCCCGAAAATAAGACCTAGTTTGGTGGTAGCGTGTGAGGGGGAACTTGCAGGAGAGATGGCATCAGCCTGCAGGGACATACTGTATTAAGGGGATGACAGGGGACTCCCTCCAGACTTCACCAACTGCGGTCCCCCTGAAGGCACTGCTTAATGTAATGGTACTGTACTATAATGTGTACCGGTAAATGGTACCGTGCTTTACCGCGCTGTCCACTGTCTGATGTCCCCACTGCTGCACCGCTGGTACCACTGTCCCTGGTGGCAAAGGAAGCCGGCGCTGTAGAAAGCAAGGCTGCGGCGGCGAGGGAGCAGAGCCGCATTAGCCGATACTTCCTCTATAGCGCCGGTTACTGTGACAGGCGGAGAGATACCAGATAACTTTGGATTGTTGTACATTTTGTTGCACATTAAAAAAAAATAAGACATCCCCTGAAAATAAGACCTAGTGTGTTTTTGGGGGGCAAAAAAAATATAAGACAGTGTCTTATTTTCGGGGAAACACGGTAGCAGCGATCAAATCCTAGCTAAGCAGAGACACTTCTCTTCTGACGGATGGTGAGCAACAGTTTGCTAGGGAGCCTGCCAGGACTAAGGTATAGTATGCCCCCCACCGGGGTAAATGTCCCGAGTGTTTGTTACTATAGCTGGCCATACACATGGCCATATTAATGTATTCTGACAGCCGGGCCCCCGCAGCCATCAGAATACCTGAGCAGTGACAGCAGCCGATTTGCCTGACAAATTATGGCCTGGCTCCTTCGACAGAAAGTCGATCGAAAAATCAACTTTTGTTGAATGGAGTGGTACTGGCAGGGCCACCCACAGCCCGAAATTCAGCAGGACTCGGCCATAATTCAAGCAGTGTATGGCCAGCTTAAAGGAGAACTATGAGGTTAGGGCTTTTCTCCATAGCTCTCCTGAGGGTAACAGGAGGACACAAACTAGCGTCCTCCCGTCACCCTAAGCTCAGTATACCGCGAGCTACAGCTCGCGGTATACTGAGACGCCACAGCCGGGACGGATCCCGACATTACTGTCGAGATCCACCCAGCTGGCTCTGCCCGCCCCTCCCCCTTCCGTTCCGCCAGTCAGCGCTGGAGGATCGGACAGGGGAAGGGGGGGGAATCCCTGCAGGGAGTCGTGAGTGAGTCACGGCTCTCTGCAGGTAGATGATCGAGAAGTGAGCAGCCACGGTATGTGTTCGCTCACTTCCCGATCTATTGAGCCGACGTGTGATAGTTTCATTGTCACAGGTCGGCTAGAACTTTGAGTGATTTTCACTCGCCTCATAATTCTCCTTTAAGAAAGATCTACAGCAGACTTTGCTCCCTGAATCTCCTGGCATGACAACCCTAAAAGGACTACATTAACAGGAAAGGTTTCCTACACATTAAAAACTCAGTGCGTTTGCATCCCTTTGCAACAGTACACATTGAATTCACTCTTGCCTTTGATGTCGGGGAGGTGTTGGCAACCTGCAAAAGGCCCTCAATTCGGGTCAATGGAAGCAGTAGTAGTGTGAAAGTAAATAAGGTGATCCTGTAGTCACTCTGATGCCCAATCACATGCTAGCAAAGATCCTGTCTTTGTTTTTATATTTTTTCCCTTGTGTACGATTGAGTATTTAAAGTAAACACAGGTTCTCATTATGTCCCAACATTCCCTTAGCTGAGGGAACAGTCTTCACTCCTTGAGCAAATCATCTAAATGTTGACCTTTGGACAGGTTTTTCCGAATGCTGGTTCACGGAAACAATTCGCTGGAACCTGCCAATGGGAGGTGCAGGAAATGGACAAAGTCTGTGTGATATCAGTGTGAGGAAGTCAGATGAGTTGGCTTCCCCTCCTTCACCCATTTACAATACACATCTTCAAATAGCCAACTCCCATTTAGTCGTTTTTTGCCACGTAAACCGTTGTGTAAAGCGGACCCTTCCCCCGTTTCACTAAAAATGACAATCTAAGGTCCCCATCTCACACACATACAGGGACAATTTACCTTCCAGCATGTCTGTGGAGTGTGGGAGGAAACCCACAAAAGCACAGGAGAGCATGCAAACTCCATGCAGATAGTCATGTGGCTGGAATATGAACCAGGGACCCCCAGTGCTGCCAGGCAGAAGGGGTAACCACTACCCCACATTGTATTAGTTAATGGGGTCTGAATGATGAATGTTTTTGGCTGTAGTGATGGGGGGGAAAACAAACATTTTGAAGGTGCGGGATGGAAAACCTTTTTTGAACAAATGAAAATCTAACAGTAAATGTGGTTTTTGTTTCGGGAAACTCCATTCATACCAAAAACAAAAGATAAAATCAAATGAAAACAACATTCTACAAGTCTCTGCATAGGAAAGTAGGTACAACAATCTACCAGTGCATGCAGTGGCGTCACAAGGGGGGTGTGGCCCGCACCCGGGTGACACCAAAATGACTGACATTCATTTTGGTGTCACCCCCTCTAAAAAGTCGGGCACTTGGTCATGGACCGAGAGCCTGACAGTGTCAGGAGAGAGGAGGGGACCCAGTGGCATACCTCATCCCGCCAGGTGAACGTCCCCTCCTCTCTCTGCCAATGTTGGCTGGCGGCAGGCATCGATTAGATGATCAGCTGTAGGCTCCATTTGGTTATTCTGACAGAAGTTGGAGGCTGCTGTCAGAATACAATGCAAACAGCGGGGGATTTGTCCCTCCGTGCTCAGAAGTTTTGATGGAGGAATCTTAGATTTCCTTTTTGTTCAGCCTGCAGGTTCAATGAAGAAAATATAACCGTGTATACGTGGCTTTAGTCTGCTGTTTCCTATCTCTGCCCATGTGACCAGTATTGATCATGGAAAGGCAGCTTCACATACATGTGTTTGTCCTCCTCCGTGCTCTCGTACTCCAGGAAGACGATCTGCCGGGGGTAGTTGCTGCACAGTTCGCCGTTGGGGTTCTGGATGATGCTGTAGAAATAGTCTTTGCCAAAGAGCTCCAGACAGCGCCTTTCAATCCTCTCCACCTGAAACAACCAATCATTATCATTATCATTTAACCACGCCCTCTCTACACCAAAAATGTACAGCAACCATAAAAATGTAGGACAACAAAAACAAGTCAATACCCAATCAAGTTTCATCTTTGATTCTTTAGTATAAGAAATTGGATTGGTCTCGATAGGCACCAACACATCAGAACGTTCACATTACATTTGCTCACACATCATATGCTGACCTCCGGCCTCCCCTTCAGTCTTACAGCTGACTTCCGGCCTCCCCTTCAGTCTTACAGCTGACCTCCGGCCTCCCCTTCAGTCTTACAGCTGACCTCCGGCCTCCCCTTCAGTCTTACAGCTGACCTCCGGCCTCCCCTTCAGTCTTACAGCTGACCTCCGGCCTCCCCTTCAGTCTTATAGCTGACCTCCGGCCTCCTCTTCAGTCTTATAGCTGACCTCCGGCCTCCCCCTCCTTGTCTTATATCTGACCTCCGGCCTCCCCTTCAGTCTTATATTTGACCTCCGGCCTTCCCTTCAGTCTTGCACAGTGGTACCAGCTCCTCTCCTGGAATGAAATGTCTTCCTCTGATGTCACTGCACACTGCGAGCTCCTCATAATGTGCATTAGAAGCTGCAACAAAGTCAGATAGAGCTCGTCTGGCTGGAGGACATTCAGCATCATCTAGTCATTTTCTCCCCAGCTTGGCTGTCCCTGACTCATCCCTTTCAATCATGGAGGCTCAGCGTCACATGTTGGTGTTACCTAATGCAGTCTGAATGCAGATACAAATCGTGCCTAGGAATTCCAAAATAAGCCGAGGGCTCCCGAGAGGGGGTACGCCGAGGGCTCCC